ATTGATTGTTCGGATCACTGGTATCTAAGTCTTCCGCTGTGCTATCTTATACCTTGTATTGAAAGGTCGGTTCTTGTTCTGGTCTGCACCTATACGGTATGCAACAGCAGCCGACCAGTCAGGGGTCACCGACGGTCGGCGCGTGCAACACGATGCAATAATGAATTGTTGACCCTCGGCCATGAGGAGTTTGCATTGCAATTCACAATTTCACACCATATTTGCTTCCATACTGCGCTGCTCTGGACCTGGCCAGAACCCCGCCTGCGACCTTGCCCAGTTGGGATTCTGGGCAGCTAGAGGCTGCCCAGGCACCTGGAAAGTTCTCCGTCTTTCAGCACCTCCTGATGCGTGTATGAGCAATGATGTGAAATCCACCCGATCTTGAAAATATGAAATCAGGAAAGCGAAAAGATTTAATGAGACAGAAAAGTAAATGCCTTTACACCGTCACTGTCCAGCACCCGTGTGTAATCCACTCGATCATCCACCCGATCTTCAAGTCTGAATGTATTTGACCATGCACAAAGTCTAAATTCAGTAGCAGCAAATACTCCAAATCTATGACCAACCATATCGTCAGTAACCTATAAAGTTATAATTTATAAACAAGCAAGAAAAAAATTGCTGTAGTCTCATACACCTTAACCAACGAAATTAGGCAAAATACAAGATTCAACTTCATTCAAGGGACAAAAATTTCCAACTCTAGCAAGCCACGTCCGCATGGTTCACCGGCTGCACCAAATTCTGAAATGGGATGTTTGGGTGTGAAACAGGCTGGAGGAGAACAGAGATTGTGCGTGCTTCAGGTGTTGTCGCCAAAACGCATCTAAAGCACATCGTGATTGTTAATCAGCGCATTTGCTTGGATAATTGACATTGTGGCTGAACAATGGGAAAAAAGACTCGATTGCGACCTGTCATGTCTGGAATTCGATGATCGCGTTTGATTTGAAATGTAATTCCATGATTGGCCCCCTGTCAATGTATGTTGATTTTCAGATGGACCTGTGAATGAGAGTGTAGCGTGCAGGCACTAAGTTCCGTTCTCTCAGTGGTGATACTGGAATTCAAAAAATATATATGAAACTCCGACGAAACAGTTTGTCACAGCCCCTCGTTTGTTGTCCTCTTCTCCCTCTCTGCCTACGGTTTACCGGGCAGTTCTATTTGACGATATATATATATTCAATTCTGAATTACTGCTTACTACAGCAAATAATGACACTTCTGATGCAATAAGTGGCAATTGCTGCGAATTTTCTCCCTCGTAATTAACGCCAATCTTCCCCTTTTCTCTTCCGGTTCCCTGCTGAATCCCTCTCTATTTTTGGAAAGAATTCTTGTCGCTGTTTTCGACACTAGCACGCGGGGTTTCAGCTGTTCACACGGCCTTTTTTTTGGGCAGGTGTTATTTGTGTGTACAGCAAATGTAGTTGAGGCGATTCCTGGACCTCTTCTTGATAGAATGGAGGTCATACGCTTGGTTGGTTACATTTCTGATGAGAAGATGAATATTGCGCGGCACTACTTGGAACCGACGGCACGAAAGAACGCTGGTGTCAAAAGCGATCAGGTACGTATCTCCTATTTCATCGTTACCTTTTAGGTGTTTTCGCTCTTGGGCGTGGGGGCGAGCGGGGTCGGATTTGATGGCTCAATTGTCGTTGTCTGTGCGTTTTTGTGGCAATGGTTACTCTCATGCCGTCACGTTCTTCACTGTTGGGGGTGGAGAGGAGCGGGGTCGGATTTGTTTTCTAAACTGTCGTTCTCTGTGGGTTTTTGTGGCAGTAATTGCTCTCATGCGGTTGCGTTTTTCCACAATGAAGTGAATGGCATCATTTTGGGACATATGGTTGGCGGGGTCGAATTTGTATTCTAAGCTGTCATTCTATGTGGGTCTTTGTGGCAATCATTATTCTCATGTGGTTGCATTTTTCACAATGGTCAAGTGAATGGCATCCTTTTGGGACTTGTGGTTGCAGGCAGAGTTTGCTGATGGAGCTTTGCACATGTTGATAGAAACATATTGTCGTGAAGCGGGGGTCAGGAGTTTGCAGAAGCACATTGAGAAAATTTACCGCAAGGTGAGTACCACAGATTGCTCCAATGGTTTTATTTGATTTTATTTCTTCTTCCATGTTCCTCCTGTTCGTTGTCGACTCTTTTCTTCCACCCAGTTACTGTTTGTTCTTCTTTCTTCTCTCTTGTCTTCTTCTTTTTCTTACTAGTTTTTTTCATACTTGCGGAGCACCGGCACTGTGCGCTGTGCGCAGACCCAGGGTGGGCTGGGTGCGCAGTGCGCTGTGCACGTCTGGTGAGTTGCGCGCATGTGCGCAATGTATATTTCCATGTTCAAGCGGTAGATTCATTTGATTTTGTTCTCTCGCTCTCTCTGTCTCTCTCTCTCTCTCTCTCGCTCGCTCTCTCCCCTCCCGACTTCTTCCGCCGCTTCCCACCATCCCACCTTCGGCCTTTCTCCTGCCTTCCGCCATCCATTATCGCTACTTCTCTCTCCCTCTTCCCA